ACTCCACTTTGTGGCCCCATTTCTTAAGGTTGGCTCTGCATCTCATGGTGACAGAGCACAGTCTGTTCAGCACCTTCCAAGTCACCCAGTTTTCTGTGTGCCCTGGAAGGAGTCTCTCATTTGGCCATGGATTGAGGTTCTGGGTTTTAATCTGACACTTTTGGGCTCTCGCTTGCTGAAGTGTTCCTGCAAGTATCTCTGTAGAGGCTAGAAAACTATTTCTTGATTTAAGGCATTGGCATGCTGGCTGACATCCAAATAAGGAATGGGCAGAGATGTCACTGCCTTGGTCCTTTTATTATTGGCTGCTACTTCCCGGCAGATGTCAGGTGGTACAATACTAGCTAGACAGTAATATCTCCAGTGATGTAGGGCGCAGGCATACTGTGATAATGTGGCATGCCTCATTATGAGCTACATCCACTGTTTTAGCATGCTGAGATAGAATCATAGAATCATAGAATCAAAGAGTTGGAAGAGACCTCATGGGCCATCCAGTCCAACCCCCTGCCAAGAAGCAGGAATATTGCATTCAAATCACCCCTGACAGATGACCATCCAGCCTCTGCTTAAAAGCTTCCAAAGAAGGAGCCTCCACCACACTCCGGGGCAGAGAGTTCCACTGCTGAACGGCTCTCACAGTCAGGAAGTTCTTCCTAATGTTCAGGTGGAATCTCCTCTCTTGTAGTTTGAAGCCATTGTTCCGCGTCCTAGTCTCCAAGGAAGCAGAAAACAAGCTTGCTCCCTCCTCCCTGTGGCTTCCTCTCACATATTTATACATGGCTATCATATCTCCTCTCAGCCTTCTCTTCTTCAGGCTAAACATGCCCAGTTCCCTAAGCCGCTCCTCATAGGGCTTGTTCTCCAGACCCTTCATCATTTTAGTCGCCCTCCTCTGGACACATTCCAGCTTGTCAATATCTCTCTTGAATTGTGGTGCCCAGAATTGGACACAATATTCCAGATGTGGTCTAACCAAAGCAGAATCGAGGGGTAGCATTACTTCCTTAGATCTAGACACTATGCTCCTATTGATGCAGGCCAAAATCCCATTGGCTTTTTTTGCCGCCACATCACATTGTTGGCTCATGTTTAACTTGTTGTCCACGAGGACTCCAAGATCTTTTTCACAAGTACTGCTCTCGAGCCAGGCGTCACCCATTCTGTATCTTTGCATTTCATTTTTTCTGCCAAAGTGGAGTATCTTGCATTTGTCACTGTTGAACTTCATTTTGTTAGTTTTGGCCCATCTCTCTAATCTGTCAAGATCGTTTTGAATCCTGCTCCTGTCCTCTGGACTATTGGCTATCCCTCCCAATTTGGTGTCGTCTGCAAACTTGATGATCATGCCTTCTAGCCCTTCATCTAAGTCATTAATAAAGATGTTGACCAGGACCGGGCCCAGGACGGAACCCTGCGGCACTCCACTTGTCACTTCTTTCCAAGATGAAGAGGAAGCATTAGTGAGCACTCTCTGTGTTCGTCCACTTAACCAATTACAGATCCACCTCACCGTAGTTTTGCCTAGCCCACATTGGACTAGTTTCCTTGCCAGAAGGTCATGGGGGAACCTTGTCGAAGGCCTTACTGAAATCCAGGTACGCTACATCCACGGCATTCCCCACATCTACCCAGCTTGTAGCTCTATCGAAGAAAGAGATCAGATTAGTCTGGCATGACTTGTTTTTGATAAATCCATGTTGACTATTAGTGATGACTGCATTTGTTTCTAAGTGTTTGCAGACCGCTTCCTTAACAATCTTTTCCAGAATCTTGCCCGGTATCGACGTGAGGCTGACCGGACGGTAGTTGTTTGGGTCATCCTTTTTTCCCTTCTTGAAGATTGGGACCACATTGGCCCTCCTCCAATCTGCTGGAACTTCTCCCGTTCTCCAAGAACTCTCAAAGATGGTTGCCAATCGTTCCGAAATGACTTCCGCTAGTTCCTTCAATACTCTGGGGTGTAGTTGATCTGGCCCTGGGGACTTGAACTCATTAAGAGCGGCCAGGTATTCCTGGACGACTTCTTTCCCAATTTGGGGTTGGATGTCCTCCAATCCCTCATCCACTCCATCTTGCTGAGGTTGAAGACTCTCTTTTTGTGAGAAGACCGAGGCAAAGAAGGCATTAAGTCGTTCTGCCTTTTCCCTATCCCCTGTCAGCATTGCCCCATCTTCTCCTCGAAGAGGTCCTATCGCCTCCTTGTTTTTCCTTTTTCTACTGACATAAGAATAGAAGCCCTTTTTATTGTTTTTAATGTCCCTGGCAAGTCTGAGCTCGTTTTTTGCTTTAGCCTTGCGGACCTTTTCCCTACAGGTGTTGGCTATTTGTTTGAATTCTTCTTTGGTGATTTCTCCCTTTTTCCACTTCTTGTGCATGTCTCTTTTGTGTCTTAGCACAGTTAGAAGTTCTTTGGACATCCATTCTGGCTTCTTTGCACTTGTCCTATTTTTTCTCTTTGTTGGCACGGTTTGCAATTGCGCCTTGAGTATTTCACTCTTGAGAAATTCCCATCCATCCGTAACTCCCTTGTCTTTTAGTATCTGTGTCCACGGAATGCTGCTCAGCGTTTCCTTCATTTTTTGGAAATCAGCTCTCCTAAAGTCCAAAATGCGGGTTTGACTTGTCTTAGTTTCGGCCTTCCTTTGTACCTCAAATTGCAGGAGCACATGGTCACTTGCCCCTAAGGATCCTACCACTTCGACCGCATCGATCAGGTCCTCCGCATTTGTTAGGATGAGATCAAGAGTAGCCACTCCCCTTGTTGCCTCTTCTACCTTCTGGACCATGAAATTGTCTGCAAGGCAAGCGAGGAATTTGTTGGACCTTGTACTCTTGGCCGAGTTTGTTTTCCAGCAAATATCGGGATAGTTGAAATCGCCCATGACTACTACATCTCTTCTCTGTGCCTGTTTGGTCAACTGTTGGCAGAAGACTTCATCAAGTTCTTCCTCCTGGCTTGGGGGTCTGTAGTAGACGCCTACAACGACATCTTTTTGAGTCCCAGTTCCCTTGATTCTTATCCAGATGATTTCAAGCTGGTTTCCCAGATTGCTGTCTTGAATCTCTTCTGCAGCATAAGAGTTTTTGACATATAAGGCTACTCCGCCTCCTCTCCCCTTTGTTCGGTTTCTGTGAAAGAGGTTATACCCCTCAATATCTACATTCCAGCGATAGGAGTCATCCCACCAGGTTTCAGTGATCCCTATGATATCATATTTGTGGTGTTGTGCTAAAAGTTGGAGTTCGTCTTGTTTATTTCCCATGCTCTGTGCATTAGTGTAAAGTGTGTTCCACACTGGGAATGTGGAGTGGCCACATCTATACATTTGTTGAGGGAACATCTGAGATGCTGCAAGGGAAACACTTGGTTTACCTACCCCCACAAGATTTCATGTTGGTGACACACTTTTTAGACCTGCATCATTTTGCGTCATAGTAATTCAACCCTTTATAAGAGATACAGACACATACACAAATTGTAATAGTAGAATGTTTGGATGCACAGCGTATCTCATGAAAACCTTTCATTTATATTTTTAATATATAATTTGTAAGATAATACATTTGTGCAACACCTACACACTACAGCCAACACACTAAAGTATTGAACATGCAGTTTGGAAAACTGTGTTCTAGTAATAAGCAGCTGACTTGGAATATAGGCAGTAAAAAGAAAGCAGTAAAGTTTTGCAGCTTCACTTGAAATTACAAAGTATCCTCCCTACTGTGAAGTATGTTTTTTGACAGTGAGTCTGTTCAATGTGTCTCTTCGGAAGTCTCTATACTGTCAGGTCGGGAGATACATTTACATATCGAAATAGGCAAAGTATGTTAATAGAAATAAAACTGGAAAGCCATTTTTTGTGCTGAAGGCAACATTTCCTCAGAAAATCAAGTCATAGTATATGAGAACATAAATTCATAAAGTTCCCTTCTTCCTACTCTGAATCTCTCTAGACCTTAAGAATAGCATGAGTACTCTTCATTAGGTTATTTAGATTTTTAAAATAATTCTGAATGATAGAATCCACCTGAAAGTGCTGATACCTCCCTTTTCCCAGTGCACACTTTCCGATACCAATCTCATTGGCACTTCACCATCGTGATTTACTGTTCGAGAGAATGATATCCACACTTTCCTGACTGGACTTTCAGTCAACAAGTTCAGCAGCTCAGCGGTTTAACCTGCTGCACCACCAGGGAGCCCCTCATTTCATGATATCATATATTATTCTAGGTATTTAAATCAATTGTTCCATTGGATTTTGAACTGTAGATGCACATCATATGGCAATCTCAGTATTTAGGTTTTTTTTAAAAAAAAACACAATTACTACATTTCTTAATTTTATCTACATTACCTGTTCTGAATGGCATACCACCAGGCAAAAGAATTTACACTGTCCAGATCTAACATTACATGCTTGCAACTGAAAACATACATTTCTGACTCAACCTTGAAACCATTCTATATGTATCCAGCTTAAAATCACTTTCCGTGACAAGTAGTTATTATGCATGCTGTACTAAGAAATGGCCAGTTGTCTATTTGGTTGAATACTATGGATTTCCACTTGGGAAAAAGGATGTATAATATGTTACTCCAAAAATTAATAAGAAGCAAAAATCTTTAGAAACAACTTTGTTTAATTCATAGTACACAATATTAATAAATGTGTCACATACATAGGGATATTACTTCCTGAGTTTTACAAAACTTAAAAAACCCATTAGCGATGCAGTACAGTACATCTGTAATAGTTTAAGGTATTCAGTTCTTGTGGGTTTTTTCGGGCTATATGGCCATGTTCTAGAGGCATTTCTCCTGACGTTTCGCCTGCATCTATGGCAAGCTTCCTCAGACCTCTGAGGAAGCTTGCCATAGATGCAGGCGAAACGTCAGGAGAAATGCCTCTAGAACATGGCCATATAGCCCGAAAAAACCCACAAGAACTGAGTGATTCCGGCCATGAAAGCCTTCGACAATACAGTTTAAGGTATACTTAAAAACCAAGGTATAATTAATTACTTTCACTAATGGTGCAATATATCGAAAACCTTTAGCAGCCATTCTTCACATTAATCATGAATATGTACAGTTGTAGCTAAAAAGTGTATAAATACACATGTTGTATCCAAAGGCAAAGTATGAAGCTATCCTGGCAGACTGGATTAGGATAACCTCAATTCACATCCTTCTAACTAGTTGGATTTCTTCCATTTCCTGATCCTTCAACATGAATATCTATTTTCCAACTTTGAACAAATCTTGCTTAAAAGAGACTTGACTTTCCTGAGCTCAAAAGATTCATCACTTTCAACAAAGATATGCAAGCTGAAATTACTGGTTTGGTTTTAGAATAACTACTGTGTAATTATAATTCCAAAGCCCCTGGGTTTGAAAGGGCATTAATTAAAATAATACGTTGCATTTCAAAAGAAAATCTGACTCCGTTCCTGTCACTTGAATTTCCATTACCAAACCCAAAATACACTATAGTGGAGTTTTCAGGGCCTGAGGTATAAGGTTATTCCTATATAACTCTCTTCACATGCAAAAATATGGAGAACAATTGAAACACAGAGGAAATTACCACAAGTGATCATGAGGAAGTATGTTGACATTGTGCTGTGAAAATGGTACATGCCAGGCCTGTGATCTTCTTCTCTCCATCTTCAGTTTCATAAAACACCCTGTGATGTGTGTGTGACTCAACAGCAAGAAACTCTCTCTTCTCGAAACAAACCGATCCAAGCTCTAGGGAGCTTTGTTAGTTTACACAACTCGATGACATTATCTTTTTACTCACTGTATAAGAAAAGGCTAGTTTTGGTGCATACTCAGAAATGTCAAACTGAATCTAATGTGCTGTTGTGTTGTTAAAACTGTTAGATGATATGCTCCTCCAATAATTAAAGAGAAGATGAAAATAAATCATGCTATAATGCAAGTTCAACACATTAAAACTTTTTGTATAATACAACACAATCGAAATTTTAAATTACTCCATTACTGGCCATGCTGACTGAACATTTCTGAGAACAGTTTTCCAAGCAAGTACATTTTTAAAGCTCTGGTCAGGTCTATAAACAAGGATCCACCTAATAAAGCAACACACTCTAGAAACAATGATAGAGGAAAGGTTTTTGTGCATATGTTTTGCCATTTCACTGAAGTCTTAACATGGGCAAAGAAAAAAGTTAAAAAGCAGCTGAACCACGTTTCCTGAAGAATGGCCACCATAGCTATTCTGCAGCTGCAGGTAGAGACCAAAAATTGTGGAAGTATTGAAAAGTCCTTCACCTGGTTATCAACAACTTTGTGCAAACACAGCCTGGGTGGTTTGTTTTGTCAGTACCACAGCACCACTGTAATTGAAAAAGCATCTTATAATATGTATTTACAAAATTAAAAGCTTCAAAGAAATCATCCTCAATGTTACTTCACCCCAAGCTTTGTTCTAAAAACCTTTTTAACACTGACAGTTGAACGAGTCCTTTAACACCATGATGCAAAACTGAGTCTAACTATGATAAAACAGAGAGGGGTGTTAAAGGGCAGCATGTGGAGCTGGCTGGAAGTCGCTGCTCTTTATGGCCTGGGTCATGGCTCTGCGTTTGGCTAGACACGATTTGGACGGAGGAGACAGCTTCATGGAACACATGGCCTGCGAGAGACTCTCTTCCTCTTCGCTGAGATGATTCTCATGCTGGGAGAGCTGGCGGTTCAGGGCAATGGCCTCTGCAGCAAAGAGGGTCAGGTCCTTTGTGCTGCTGTTCCTGCAAAAAGGATGTGGGAGTAGGGAATGGAATGGACATAACCAGTTCATAGCAGGAAGGCTGAGCTCACTGGGGCTGCGTAATAGTCCAGCTTGTTTTGCTCTCTTCTATTTCACAAAGGACAGTTGCAAAAAGTGAAGAATGATATTAGCCAGTGCAATGTGTTTCGAATGATAGAGTTCGAAGAGACACCATAAGGGCCATCTAGTTCAACCTCCTGCCTCACAGGAAAACACAACCATCCACTCTCTGTTTAAAGGCCTCCAGAGAAGGAGGTTCCACTTCACACCAAGGCAGCATATTTCATTGTTGAATAGCTCTTGCCGTCAGGTTACTCTTCCTAATATTAGCTTTCCTGACAGTTTGATTCTATTGCTCTGTTTCCTAGTCTCTAGAGAAGTGGTTCTCAACTTATGGGTCCCCAGGTGTTTTGGCCTACAACTCCCAGAAAGCCCAGTCAGTTTACCAGCTGTTAGGATTTCTGGGAGTTGTAGGCCAAAAACATCTGGGGACCCCAGGTTGAGAACCACTGCTCTAGAGCATCAGAAACAAACTGCTCAATCTTCAACATGACATCCTTTGGAATATTTAAACATGGCTATCATGTCCCCTCTCAATTTCCTTTTCTTGAAGCTAAACATACCCAGCTCTCTAAGCCAGACTCCTCATAGGGCTTGGCTTCCAGATCTTTTTCCAGTCACATTCCAGCTTGTCAATTTCCTTCTTGAATGGTGGTTTCCAGAACTGGACACAGTAACTGACCAAATCAGAATAGAGTGGTACTATTACTTTTGTCAGTCTTGACCAGTGGTTCTCAACCTGTGGGTTCTCAGGTGTTTTGGCCTTCAACTCCCAGAAATCCCAACAGCTGGTAAACTGGCTGGGATTTCTGGGAGTTGTAGGCCAAAACACCTGGGGCTCCACAGATTGAGAACCACTAGTCTAGGGCCATGGATTTGCTTTTATAGATACATGAAAATTTACAATGAGTTTCTATTACATGGGTATATTTCCCAAAACACCTGGGGACCCAGAGGTTGAGAACCACTGATCTAGACACTATACTCCCATTGATGCAGGCAAGAAACCAATTGACTTTTTTGGTGGCCACATCATATTGCTGACTCCTGTGCAGCTTATAGTAACCAAGTCTCCTAAATCTTTTTCATATGTGCTGCTGTCAAGTCAGATATTCCCCATGTTGTAACTCTGCATTTTGTGACTGCATCCATGACTAATGGAGCAGGTGGAATACATAGAGATCGACCACCATGGGAGATCTAAAGACGACAGTATCAAACATTTGAGAAAAAGCAGCATACAGCTATACTGTTCTCCTCCAATTGCCTTTTTTCTTCTTTTCTCCCCTTGTTCCTTTTGCCATTTTGCTTCTACCAGTAAAGTCAGCCACACCATTAGTGGAGCCAATAGGATCCTGGTCTAAAAACCAATTGTTAATCCCTGCAGTAACACAGAAGCTGTATCTTTATTGTACCCTTTACAAATAGTCAAATAAAGTTCAGCAATCCTACAAATAATCAAGCAAAACTCTGTGATCCTAACTAAATGCCATAAATGACACAAGAGACTTTGTTCTGTCACAAACAGCCCCCTCCCCCCACACACTAATGCTTCTCTCCTTCAGTGGAAATTTCTTTTTAATGGATTGTAATAACTCTGTAACCACCACTCTTAATTGGTTTTAAAAGATATTCAAAAGAGGTTACCTTTGAAGGACCTGTGGTGTAGGCAGCCCTCTTTCAGAAGCATGCTGTGCATAATGGAAACATGGCAAGGTTGAGTTGAGGATGGTTAGGGAATCATTATTCATTCAAACATGATTATTATTTTGAATACCCTCTATGAGTTTCAAAATGAATAGGGCAAATATAATGTTTGTAGAAAATTACACTGAACAACAACAAACACCAACAAAGGAAAGATGTCATTCCAGATACAGCATTCAACAGAATCAGGCAGTGGCTGATGAAGAGGGAAAATGCTAGGTTTTATTACAAGAGTGGGATAGTGTGGGCTATCAACTTAATATGGCTACCTAAGCATTTTTGTGGCTCTGTGTCCCTTGCATTTTAGCTTCCAAATGCCCTCTGAAGCTCAAAAGAGAAATGTCCCCATATTTTGGGCTTCCTCCTTGGCCTTTCAACCCAAAATATGTCTTTTGTTTCCTTTTTTTCCTAAAGGAAGCTGACCTTGAAACTGACTTTCAGATTTTATTTCTACTTGGCCTAAGATGGCATGGGGAGATGGGGAGGAATGACTTACTTGCCTCCCATAGTCTCTTAGCAGACATTTGGTAACATCTGGGAGGAAATATTTTGTGTGTATGTGTGTGCAAAGGGATGTAGCCTTCCGAGGTCTACTATGGCATCAATGTGGCTTCTTAACTGAGTCTGCTGTGCTTGCTGTGAAGGGGCAATAAAGATCTCCAGCCTGCTCCCAGGACTCCTTGTGAGTAGCCAGCAGCCCAGGCCTCCTCCAGTGGGGTGTGACTCAGCAATCTGCAAGGAGGCCTCTACATCTATAAAGCTGAGCCCACAGGCCTGCCAGGGACTGAGTCTGCTGTGCTTGCTGTGAAGGGGCAATAAAGATCTCCAGCTTGCTCCCAGGACTCCTTGCGAGTAGCCAGCAGCCCAGGCCTCCTCCAGTGGGGTGTGACTCAGCAATCTGCAAGGAGGCCTCCACAGACTGCCTAATTGTGTGTTGACCAATTAACCAATTAACCATCTTCTGTGCCGACTGTTTGTGTTGTTCAATTTGTTGTGGAGAATGCTGTGTTGTCCAACTCAGGCTGCCTGACGTGTGTTGACCAGTTAATCATCTACTGTAATCCACCTCCCGGAAGATTGCGCTGACCACCTCGAGACCTGATTGGGCGGACCATCTTATGACCACCTTATGTCCCAATTATCGTCACCTTACGACCCAACTATCGTCATCTTTGGGCATCTCGCTGTTCTAATTTTTTAGATATACTGTGATGAACGTCGTCAATTTTACGTGTTGACCTTGACTTTGCAGTCCTTTCATTTATGTGGATCATCTCCGACTATACCATTGTCTTTAATTGTGTCGATTTTCTATCTGTGCTGACCTTTTGCGATTGTGCTGATTTTTTGTGATTGTGTTGACCATCTTGATTGTGTAACCATCTTTTTCAAATGTGCTTATCAACCTTAGGGTGGTGAGGCGGGGTACCTCATCGTTGGTGTGATTTTAGCACTTTATTCTATTAGCACTTTAATTATTACCTTTGTGGCACTTTAACTATCCTTAGCACTTTAATCGACTTAATCCTAGTAGCGTTGATCCAACCCTCCATGACGCACTTCATTTAGCACTTTAGAGCTAACTAACTAGCCGCTTATTTAATTGTTCATACCATCGTGTTGTTGTGTATGCGTATGTTGAGATAATTGTTTTTGCACTTTAAGAGCTCCAACGAACTCTCGACTGTGGTTACAGCTATTATCCATGTTACTATTTATTCCTTGGCAAGTGCTAATTGGGCTGCTAATTGTTTTTGGTGGAGAAAGAGAAAGGAGCAGCCCAGAAGGACATGAGTATAACATAATAGGAACAAGAAACAACTGGAAGACGAAGCCATGGCAATCTGAAGCTGTAGTATATCAAACAGTCAATAATGAATTATGGGTTGTTATCACGACTGTTAAAGGCGTCATGGAGGAGGGAGAGGCTTCCATTAACCGGGGAGCCCCCATAGAAGTCGTGGTGGGGAGGGGGAGATACGGGAAAGGGAGACCTTTAATTCGGCCTAGGGAACGTGGAACAACATTAGTAATCCCAAAGCGGTCTCCTGATACGGTAAGTTGGTGTAACCAGGATGGCGGTCCCTCTGGGTTGAAGGTGGTGCTGTTGAACGCCAGATCTGTCAATGGTAAAACAACTTTCATCCAAGATTTAATCCTGGATGAACGGGCAGATCTGGCGTGCATCACAGAGACCTGGCTGGACGAAGCGGGAGGTGTAAATTTGACCCAGCTTTGTCCACCCGGGTTCTCTGTGCAGCACCAACCGAGATCCGGAGGGCGGGGAGGCGGGGTTGCAGTAGTCTATAGAGATTCCATTCTTCTGACCAGGGCCCCCATCCCGCAGTCAACAAATTTTGAATGCGTCCACCTGAGGGTGGGTGACCGGGACAGATTAGGGATTCTGTTAGTGTACCGTCCACCCCGCTGCACTACAGACTCCCTGACTGAGCTAGCGGGGGTGGTCTCGGACCTGGCATTGGAGTCCCAGCGGCTGCTTGTGCTGGGGGACTTCAACGCCGAGTCCACCTCATCGGGAGCGGCTCAGGACTTCATGTCTACCATGGCGACCATGGGGCTGTCCCAACAAGTATCTGGCCCCACCCACAGTGCTGGACATACATTGGACTTGGTTTTCTGTCAGGGATGGGAGGAAGGTGGCGGTGTTGAGGAGTTATCCATCTCTCCGTTGCCATGGACCGACCACCACCTGGTCAGCTTTAGACTCACTGCACCCCCTAACCTCCGCAGAGGTGGAGGACCCATTAAATTGGTCCGCCCCAGGAGGCTTATGGATCCGGAGGGATTCCTGATGGCTCTTGGGGAATTTCCCGCCACCTCGGTTGGTGATCCTGTTGATGCCCTGGTCGCTCTCTGGAATGGGGAGATGACTAGGGCAATAGACACGATCGCTCCAGAACGTCCCCTCTCAAGTAGCCGAGCTAAACCAGCCCCTTGGTTTACTGAGGAGCTGGCAGCGTTGAAGCGAAAGAAGAGGGAACTAGAGGGCGTGTGGCGTTCGGATCCGAGCGAGCCAAACCGAACACGGTTTGTGTCCTTTTTAAGGTCATACGCCGCGGCAATAAAAGCCGCAAAGAAAACTTTCTTTACGGCCACTATTGCGTCTGCAAAGAACCGTCCGGCCGAACTGTTTCGAGTTGTCAGAGGCCTGTTAAAACCCACCATTCAGGATGGGAGCCCTGATGACTCGGCAGCTCGCTGTGAAGCCTTTGCTCAGTTCTTTGCAGACAAAGTCGCTTTGATCCGCTCTGGACTGGACACCATATTAACGGCAGTCTCTGAGGATGTAACACGAGCATCTGCTTGTCCAATTTTGATGGATTCATTTCAATTGGTTCAATCCGAGGATGTGGACAAGGTGCTTGGAGGAATGAGAGCTACCACATGCATCCTAGACCCCTGCCCATCCTGGCTTCTGAAGGAGGCAGAGGGGGATTGGCCGAGTGGGTGAAGGTGGTGGTTAATGCCTCCCTTCGGGAGGGCAAAATTCCAGCCAGCTTAAAGCAAGCTGTGATAAAACCGCTGTTGAAGAAACCATCACTGTACCCCACTCAATTCGTCAACTATCGGCCTGTTTCCAATCTCCCCTTTTTGGGCAAAGTCATGGAACGTGTGGTGGCCTCACAACTCCAGGCATTCTTGGTAGACACGGATTATCTGGATCCGGCACAGTCTGGCTTTAGAAGTATCTATAAACACCACTTCAAGCCTTTGGGATGCAGACAGAAAAAGCTATTTCAGACTCCTGGACCCCCGGGATTTTTTAAATTACAGCTCCTCAAATCATTTGCCACTTGATCTGTTGGCTGGGGCTCCTAGGTGCTGAATTCATCTGGAATACCAAAGTTTTCTCTCTAAATATAGGTATTTATATGGAGCCCCACTAATCAAAATCATGAGACATGGCATTAAACTTGGTCACTATTCACATTTACACCCTGGAAAAACCCAGTTCTGGACAGATTGCCATTTTTCTAAAGCAAGTGGGCAAAGTACACCCTACAATGATCCTTATATTGTTGCGCAGCAGCACTTCTTCAAACTCTGTTGACCTCCCAAATATCCCAACCCTTAATTTTGTTTTAATTTTTTCTGACAATTTTCTACTTGAAAATTGGCTAAATAAACTAATAAATGACTGCATATGCAACAGTTTACTTCTACCTTTGTTCTAGCCCCAACTTCCCTTTAAAACCCAGATAAACATAGGTCAGAATAGCAGGTAAAAGGGATATGATGGCACTTCCAGCATGCCAAATGTAATGATGGTGCCTATAGGGAGGAGGAAAGGGAGTCATATGGGTGAAAAATCACCCCTAATTGGCACAATCTACTTCACAAAGTAATATACATTCAGGAAAAAAAGACTGAAAAAACAAAAAGCAGAAAAAATAACTACAATTAAATGAGTAAACTAAAACAATGAACTCTGAGTTAAATACCAAAAGGCTCTGAACTCTCCCATTACAAAATATAATGAAAGGGAAAAAATTAACATAAAAATGTTCTAGCATTACAGATCCAACAAAATAATCCTTCAAGAATTACTAGAAACCATAATAATAGATTATTACAATGTTAAAATTCTTATGGTGTAAAAACATCTGTAACCAGTATCCACTCTCTAAACCTTCAATTGGCTTACGCTTTAAAATCCACATTAGTTCGACAATTTGGACTGACTTAGAAATCTTAACAATTCATTCTTCTGTCATCAGTGCTTCCATAATGCCCAGCTTTTCTGGTGACAATATAAACTCTTTTAGTTATTAACATGTATGTAAATCTTACACCAATAACTTTTGGTTTTCTTTTCCTTCTCTTTACATTCCCAAGTAAGGTACATACCAGTAGATTTCTTCCACAGGGACCTGTGCTTTATCAGACACTGGGCACAATGATGGCTCTCTATATAACAAACCTTAAAACTGTGGCACAGACATTGAGAACTGAGAAGCCCTAGCCCTAGAGCATTCTAACTGGAGGTCAGCTGTTACCAACAGTGCTGTGGAATTTGAAGAGCCATAGATGTAGGGAGAAAAGGGAGAAATGTGTCACGAGGAAGGTGCATCAAGCAAACCTTTGTTGGGACCATCTTTCATATGTATGTCCTCACCACAAAAGACCATGCGGATCTAGAATACGTCTCTATAGTCACTTTAGAATCCACCACCAAGACTCTACACTTGAAAGGCAATCATACTCGGCCACAAGTGGTAGCCTATGATGGTGATAACAAAACATGATAATTTAAAAGGCACAACTTACACCTTGTACCCATGGATGCTGTAGAACCTGAGCAGCACTGAGCCTTTCCTTGGCATCACGGACTAACAACTTTGAGATCAGATCCTTGGCATCATCGGAGATATGAGACCAGTCCTTCTCTGGAAACTCATATTTGCCTTCCTGGATACTCTCAAAGAGTTTGTTCTAGAAACAACACAAATATATATACATATTCATTTTCTTCAGATGGCAAAAACTCAGAGGCAAAATGTTAATTTCTCCCAATCTTACCAAACCTCTCCTATTTTGTAAAATTGGCAGAGGTAAGTCTGGTTGGTAAGTCTGCCATTAAAATTTTGGATTAACATTTCTCTTGTCTTGAAAGGCACAACATAAAACCCATATTTAGACCATTCTAAGATTAGTTATAGTGCCACATTTCCATTAATCATAAACATGAACAGTTCAGATCTAAGTAAAGTAGCAAAATCAAATTTCCAGTTTGAGGTATCTCCTTTCTTCACTAATGCATTACACAAAAATGATATCAAAAGGCATAATTCTGGAAATACAGTCTAACTTGAAGAAAAGCCAAGTCAGAATGGTGTAGTTGTTAGCGCATTGGAGTAGCCCTTCAAAGATCACAATTCTAGTCACTACTGAGCCATGAAACTAGCAGGACTTATTTCACAAGACTATTGTGAAGATAAAGTGGGAAGGATACAAGCCATGTACACCACCTTGAGATGGGATATACATGTAACTAATGAAGAGACATGAGGAGAAGAGATGCAAGATCAGAGTTCTAAAGGGGATGAAACAGAAATCTGAGACAGCACAATTATATGATCCTACCCATGCCTTACTCTTCTAGTTAGAAGCGTATTTCAGAGGATTTCTTTTTGATAGAGATCACCAATGAATGCTTACACCACAGGAATGTGTCTCCAGAACACAATATATTTATCTAGCTACCTGACAGACTTTGCAGACTTCTCCTCTGTCCCAGCCACAATCGGTGCCACAGTTCCCCACAAAAGGTGGGTAGCCACTTAGCATGATGTACAAAATCACCCCCAAGCTCCACAGGTCACAGCGCTTGTCATAGAACGTGGCTTCCTCTGTAAACACTTCCACCACCTCAGGGGCCATGTACTCTGCAGAACCACACTAACAAGACACAGTTGGAGGAAAGGGGAAAAAAGGAAAGAAGCATTTAGAATCAACTGAAAAGGAAAGAGACACATGGAATAAATGCCCTAGGGCCTTATTTCAGAGATGCACTCAGAACGTAGTAAAAACCTACACATACTACCCATTTCTATGTTTGCTTTTCAAGATAAAATCTATTTCAGGTTATTTTCCATGGATCCTTCCAATGTTATCTGCACAGACTTGTCATATTGCCAAAACTAAATCATTCTGTGAAAGAACTATCCTTCTCACACAAATCTGGAAGAGTATAAATCCAGCATAGAGTGTACTCCTGACACTTTTAAATACAAACTTAAGAAGTCCAAGGCACAATAACAGACAGCCGACTAAGAGGCAGAAATGTGGTAGCCAGGAGGAAATTAACCACTTAGTATTGATTTGCCCACAGCAGATGGGGCAAACCTTCATCCAAAAAATACTCTTTTGCTCTTATCTCCAATCAGTCAGGGGATAAAAAGCAATTCAAGATTCAAGAAGGAGGTCTGATTTGCAACTGTCTCAAATATCTGGATGCCTTTGTATGTAATAGGGAGTTTTTATTTGCAGTTCTGGAAGGTTTTGTAGGCTTGAAAGAAGTGGCATAAGGAGAAACTGGCCCTTGCATTTGTTTTAATCCTTCCTTATAAACTCAAATTTGGCTACTAGATCATAAAACATCCTCCCTCCAGCTCAGAGTTAGTGGGCAATCATCCTCTGCCCCATACATACAAGTCACTGAACACACTTGAAATGCAACCCAGTTGTTTTTTCTTTGTTTCATGTCAGGAGTGACTTGAGAAAGTACAAGTCACTTCTGGTGTGAGAGAATTGGTCGTCTGCAAGGACATTGCCCAGGGGACACCCGGATGTTTTGATGTTTTACAATCCTTTTGGAGGCTTCTCTCATGTCTCCGCATTGGGAGTCGGAACTGACAGAGGGAGCATATCCGCACTCCCCGGATTCGAACCTGCAACCTGTTGGTCTTCAGTCCTGCCAGCACAAAGGTTTAACCCACTGCACCACCAGGGGCTCCTACGAGCCCAGTGCAAATCATTGAGTCTTAAGGAGTGCAAAGACAGACTGTAAAACAGCAGGAAGAAAAAAAGTGTAAACTGAATTCATGTTTAGAGGACACTTATGCTAGTAAGGTATTCCAACATATTTATAGCCAAGGACTTTCACTCATCAAAATTTCACATTCCATTTGAAGAAGCAAGGGATTATTGGTTTGCCTCCCACAACCCTGGAAATACACTATTGTAGAGTTGCTGGGCAACAGCAAGTATTATGTAGAAGCCAATGAAAACATGAAGAATTGTCATTCTTAGGTCTTTCAATACGCAGTACTTGAGCAGGCACACAATATTTTTAGATTAATCATGCAGCGTAAAGAAGGGTTGATCTTTTGACATGTATCAAATACAACATACATTTTCAAAACACAAGGAATATTGTAATCGCAGGTCTCACAGTCAAAACTCCAGGAGCTGAAGAACTCACACAAAGCTAGAGCAGGCAACACTCAAACCTACTTTAAAACACCTGCTTCAGTATCACTTAAACTCTGGTTTGTGTTTGAACTGCCTCATATCAAATTTAGATGAGTCTTTCCAAATCTGAGATTTTGTTAGTAGAGTATCCTAGTGGAATACAATCATGACAATCATACCTGTCTTTCTAGCATCTAAAGTGTTGCATCACATCAGCAGGACGAGTGCTGCAATAAGTCTTAGAAAACACACCGAACTATATTTCCCCATGGTACCTTACACTAGCAGGACTGCTGAGTATTGAAAAGAGTGCAGGAAAAGAGGCAGAAGAAATAGCTTATTATGACTGCCAAGTATATTAGAGAGAATAAACGGAGAAGGAGATCTGCTCTCAGGCTTCAGGTGTGTGAACTACTACTGCAGCTATATTGCTTTGGACCATTCCTCAGCCTTTATTTCCTTATCTATCCTTCACTCATAAACTTTTCTATCCTTCACTGGCCCATATATATGGAAATTAAGAAGATTTTAATGACAGATCTCTCTCCATTATATTCCACCTCTTCTTTGAAATCTAGCAAGAGTTATAAAACAGTCCTTTGGTCCTTGCAAAATGCAAAATGAAATGTGTGAAACTTGAATGCATTACATGCACACACAAACATACCTCTGCTTCCATTCTTCCCTCCCCTCTTTTGCTTCCTTTATCAAAATTAAGGCTGCCACCTCCCCGGGGTCTTTCTTCTTCTTACTTCTGACTCAAGCACATGGATATTGATTTATTACTACATACATCATTTAGTACTAATGAAGTGGCTTCCAGTCCAAGCAAATTCATTTTGCAGCTAGTTTTCAAAACCCCTAAGAATCAATATCAACCTAAAATGCAATGGGAAACTTTATCATACTGATTATTTAAATTAATGGCAAACCTGCCTCTCATACAACATTATATAGTAACTCAAACTCCATGCGCACCAGCTAATTAAATAGAGCCTTTGGCTTGACTGGAGAAAAACCACACTGTAGTGGCAGAACACATTTTGCAGGCAAATAATTCAATCCTTGGCATTTCCACAGAGTGCTGCCCAAAGACTGAAGAGCTGCTGCCAATTAGTTTAGCTAGACTGACTGGTACTTTGGTTTCAAAATAAGTCTGCTTCCTATGTAATGTTAAGTTCTTTGTTAGTATAGGCCAGTTAGTATAGGCCAGTGGTGGTGAATCTATGGCACGCATGCCAGAACACGTATGAAGTGCCCTCTCTTCTGGCATGTGAACTATCCCACCCTCACTTGCTCACCTGTTTGCCCACCCCTGCTCACTCACTTGCCCACCCTTGCCCCCTTGCTCACCCCCCCCCCTTGTGCCCCCCTCCCTGTTTGGGCACTCTGTCACTATCACTGGTATAAGCCATAACCCAGTATCACATATGTTAGCCATGAGACCAAAAACATGAGAGATGTGAGTGACATTCCTATTTTCAGAGTGAAAGGAGAGAGAAAATGAGAGAGAGAAACCCAGTTCCAAAAGTTCCCCTTTGAAGCCAGTCTCTGTGAGCAACAACAGACATCCTAGAATTAGGACAATGGCCCTGGAACTATAGCCTCCTCTCCAAACTCTTAAGGATGCAGCTTTGAAGGCATGTGAGTCCTGCTTATATATTAGATAAATCAATAAATAAAACTTTATTTATATTTCACCCTATCTCCCCTGGGAGACTCAGGGCGGATTCCAACAAACAAAAAGGCAAACATTTAATGCCTCAATGACAATAAGTACAAATATAATAACCCAGAATAACCCCACATAAAATTCATCTTAAGCATAATAACTATAACTTAAATAAAACTATAATCTATCAAAAATTATAACTAACATAAAATGTGAACATAAAACATCCAAATATGACCTCAAAAAGTGTGGATGAGCACCAAGACACAATTACATGTTGAAATACAGTTGAAGTATCATAGTCTGCACTGCAACATGAACTCTAATGAGCTGATACATTATCCATTCTCCTCTTCCCAACTTCCCACAGAAGATAATAGTGTTTACATACTGGAGTAGTCAGCTCAGGAGTAGTAATTGGAGTACACGCACTGTTGAGTTTTACCCCACTTCCAAGGTCAAAGTCACAAATTCTCACTGGGGATACCTAAAATGTGGGAAAGGAAAAAAAGAGGACACCACACACTTCATTATGTTCATGAATTCTACCTTGAAAATGTAATATAAAAATAATGGCAAATCATGAGATACCTTAGTGGGAGATTCACACAATATGTTTTCAGGTTTTAGGTCTCGATGAGCAATTCCTAAGGTGTGCAACAGAAGGAGAAGAATGAATCACATCTCAAAGAGCCACGTAATACAAAATTGGGGTGGGAGTGACCTTATGACAATATTTGATTTTGGTGTTTACATATAGATTGAAGTTTTAATCAAGCTGCTCAAGAGCTGCATTGCTCACCAAAACAGAGTCAGTCAATCCTTGTGTTGCAGAGAAAGTTCTAAGCAAGAACAGAAACCTAGAGATAAAAGCATTTGCCCCTTGCTTCACTTCTCTGCCATCGCTGCCTACATTTTGGGGACGGGCAATGCCAATGAGAGGCGAAGACATGACATGGTTTCCTCCCACTTGATATAAATTACCTAGCACTGTTCATACATTTATGAAGTGTGTTATTCTTGCTGCTGTTAGGTGTTTTCAAGAGCTCTGATGGACAGTCATCCTTTTTATTCTAGAGTTTCTCAGTGAGATTTGTTCAAAGGAAGCTTGCCACTGCTTTCCTCTTAAGGCTGAAACAGTGCAACCACTGGGCTTCTAGTACCCAAGTCCCTCAGAATCCTAGTCACACAACTATATTATACTACCTCAAAAAGTGAATATAAACCACAGTTTTAACACTGAAGTTTGCAGGAGCTTCACACAACTATGTGAAAACCTGGGTTATATTCTTCTTATATCCCCTGATGAAGAATTGATTGTGTGTGGAAAGGGCTGTGACTTATTTTTGACTTATATAATAATGTTGTTTTAAAAAAGTAATACAAACATCTGCTAGCATCTTCACACAATTATACAAAGTGCTACACATAAAAGCTGCATTAAGACTGTCTCACACCCATAAAGTTGCTTTCTTTCTCGCTCAATCCCATCCATAAACTGCATTCAGTCTATATTTACCCATAAGAAACAGAAACCAGTAAATGTGATAGCTAAGCAACATAGACCTTAAGAAAAGAGCTAACAACATAGACTCAATGCTCCCAAAACAATATGGCCACCTTTGAGTGAAAGGGCTTACTCTCTTGGCTCAGCTCAAGTTACAGAATAATCACGTACAGACCTTTCATTCTCAACACTATAACAAAGAACCAATCATTTTTCAGACATAATGTTATTTTTACATGAATATCTTACTCACGAATTATCATATGGGCAAAGGAGAATAGTTATGGACAAATGCAGTGCAAGTAAATAAAATTTTGAGTATTTAATGGCTTTGTAGAAAGCATTGCACTTTCATCCCATGCCCTTGTTCCTTAGCTCCAATTTGCACTATCCCATTCCCTTGTCTTGTTTACAGCCTGGCCATGTCTTATGATAGTTATTCTGAGTTTTAAACTGTTGTTTTTATATGTTATATGTTTTACTTTATTGTATTGTATTGTGTGTTTATTTTATGCTCTGTTTTAGACACTTCCTGCCATATGTAAGCCTCCTTGAGTCCTTTTGTGTCCTGATTTGCCCTTCAAGAACAGCTGTAATACAATGTTGAAAGTAAAAGAAAAATGCTTTACTTCAGCAAACACAAAAGAACAGCAAATGCAGTTGAAAAATGCAAAAGAAAGCAAGGAAGTCTTAATGCAGACACAAAACTAAAGTCTCAATGTCCAAAAGAAACAGCACTCTTACATCAGACAACGGGCAATGATCACTAAATCCTTAGAAGCAGACTTGAAGCAGATTCAATTGGAGCAAAAACATCAGCATCGGAGTCGTTGTTACCAGCGAAAGCTAACTGGTCCTGCTTCTGATTTATAGCCCTGAATTCCCCACGCTGGAGGTGCTAGGGCAGCTCCCAATTACCTCGGCGTTTCTAGCAGCTATTCTAGCTGAACGCCCGCTGTGGTCTGTTTCCTTTCGCCTCTCCAGAAATGTGGGCATTTGCAAAACCTTATCATCTGATTCCTCTTCCCCCTCCAATTCCTGAGCACTTCCCTGCTCCCTTTCCTCTTCTGAAGATGAGGAATCCCTAACACTTTGGGGAGATAGAGGTGGGGTACAATAATAAAGTTGTTGTTGTTATACAACTAAAGAGTTTTCTTCCTTCAGTATGCCGTGAAAGCATAGTGTCTTATGATACAAAAGGCACATGAAACAATGCTGGATTACAGACTTCAAGCTACAGGAGTTTCTACAGGTAGTGTAGAGCATGCCTCTCTTGACTTTAGAAGTCTAGAATTTAAAACAGTAAAAAGCTTAAGCATCCAAACCCATAAAAGCTTCAGCTCCCAGTTTAATACTGTGTGCAACATTTTTAATAAGAGTGTTAATGCTACACAGTGGAACTGCAAACTAAATGAGAAAATCGGGGATTACAGAGGATCCTTCTGCAAACATTTCTTCCCACTGTGTAGCTTCTCTCCCCCAAATATAATTTTACCAGCTGCTTGCAAAACCTTTTTTGCACAGAACAGAGCATGTTCTGTGTAAAAGAAAAGCAGACCATAAAATTCCAAACCAGCTTGTATTTACATGATTTTGTAATTCAATATTCCTGTTTATAAAATATGTATGCCCCTTCTTCTGTTCAAATCACCTCAGAATGCCTTACAATTTAAGAGCATTAGAAAACAAATAAACAATAAAGCAAACAGCACCAGCATAAAGCACAGAAGCAAAGAAACATCAGACAATACAGCATCAAACACCATAAAGATCAACTAAATGCATTTTAAACGTAATATGTGTGTGCTAAGAGAGGCACTCTTCCCAGAGCTATAATCCCATAAGTGGAATGTTAAGGCAGTCTAATTCTACAGTCTCACAGGGCAGAGAGGCACATAGACAGCATATTCCGATAAACTCAACATGGAGATAGAATCACATTCCTTGATATTTCCAGGTCCCAAATGTGAGGGGGCTTTTTAAAATGCAAAAACAAGCACTTTGAACTGAAGTAATAAACATTTTGGAACCAGCATAGCAGACACAATCCTGTTAATGCTGCCTTTGGATACTTTCCAAAGGCAGCCCCCCAAAAAACATGACTGACTACAGTAATCTCAACTGTGGCAAGATGTTTGGTTGCTAAAACAAACTGAAAGTAGAATACCAATCGAAGCTGTGCAGAACTAGTACCTAGCTATCAGAAATAATGCTAGATCCAGGAGGAACCTCAATTTGTGCATTTGTTCCTCAAAGGGAAATGCAAACCACCTAACTAACAATGATGAACACTAGGGCTGGGCGGTTTCATTCGTTAATTTCGTAATTCGTTAATAATTCGTTATTTTTCTTGATAACGAAGCGATAACAAACCATCCAGGAGCAACAAAAAAACGAAACGAATTTTTAAAGCTATTTTGTAATTGTTTTGTAATTGTTTCATTATTATTTCAGCTCCTGGCTGCAAAGGGGCCCGAGCAGGGGCAAGGAGAAGGGAAGGCAGGCGAGAGAGAGAGACTGAGCGAGCAAGCTCCCTTCCCGGCCTGGCTTCCTCCCCTCGCTCCCCTGGCTCCCCCCGCCCCCTTCTTCCCCCTTTTCCCGGCTCACCTGGGCATGCACACCCCACACATGCCCGGCCCGGCGCAGGGGTGGTCCGGCGTGCCCGCTCGGCGGGGCCCTGGCATCCGCCGCCCTGGGAAAGACCCCCGCCCAGCAGCAGCGGCAAGGCCGACGACGCTGCGGTTGCTGACTCCCCCGATTGCCTCCCCCGCCGGGAAAAGGAAACGCAGGAGGAGGCGCAGCAACGAGACGGAGGTGACCGCGCGGGTGGGAGGGAGGGAGAGGGAGGGAGGGATAGAGAGGGGGCGGACTAAAACTATTATTAAAAACTATTATTATTAAAACTATTATTTAAAACTAATATTTTTATGTTGCGCAGCCGCGCCCGCCATTTTAACGAATCGATTAGTTAATAATAACGAAATTTCGTAAATACCAAACTTTTAAAAAGGAAAATTTTGTAATTATTTTAAATATCGAAACGCAAAAAACCCCAAAAAACGAATCGATTTTAGAAACAAATTTTTGCGTTGTTACCCAGGCCTAATGAACACCTCTTCTCAAAGGAGCTTCTAAATACAACCATCTGTACTGTTGTCTTATCTGGACTGACCTTTGGTTTTTAAGTCCACTCATATGGAAAGGAGACAAAGTTGGTCATCAATAGTTTAATAATGCCACGCCTGAGGCTGGAGGTGGCCTTTTTAGTTTCTCTCATTTTTCAAACAGCCAAGCAGACATGCTCCTGCTATTATTTCAAAATATAAAGCACCTCTTTACTAAGTAAACACTACAACTCTCCTAGACAGATTTTATACCATCATCTCCAGATTTCTGCTTAAGTTTACTCAACTTGTTCTTCACTATAAAACAGATGGAAAAAGCAGGCAGCCCTCCAAGTCTTAGCAATTTCAGCCATCACTAACAATATTGAAGAATCCTTGGAGTGGTTGGCCAACATCATCTAGTTATAGGAATCTCATCATTGATGTACACCAGTGGTTCCCAACCTTTTTTGACCAGGGACCACTATGACCAGGAACCACTTGACCAAGGACCACTTTGACTAGGGACGACTCTCCAACATTAATACCAAAAGAGTTTCAAATCGGTTTTTGTTCAACTTTAGATTCAGTTTGGTTATTTGGAGTGCTGATTCGGAAAATTGCATTGGATAAATCACATCAGTTCTAGTTTCTTATACAGAACATATACCATCCAGTAGTCGCCATCTGCTCGCCCACAGAAAACCATATTTAATAATCTAGATCCAATGCAATTTTCTGAATCAGCACCCCAAATAACCCCAGGAACCAGACTAAAAATGAAGACACCAAGGTGCTCCCGCTTCCAGGTGCCACATGGAGTTGATCTGCTCAGGGGGAAGGGGGAGGAGGAAAAGCAACTGTCAAGAGGAATGTTATGCTTTCATGGGTAGTCAACATCTCCTCTCCCAACATCCCTGTTGCCTTGGAATTATAACAGGCTTTTATGAGGCCAGTTTGTTCTTGTTGCAATGGTGTAGTAATGGTGAGGCTGTGGACCATATTTTAGTTCTTGGGGACCACTGGTGTTCCACGGACCATAGATTGGAAACCACTGATGTACACAATGACCCGTAAATCATCCTGGGGAAAAATCCTTTTGATTCAATATTTATTTTTAAAACACTCTCTCTATCACAATCCATGCTATGTGGTTGAGCAACGATATGTCTGTAAATCTGTTTATCTGTAGCAATACCCTCAGATGAACTAATATTAATACTGCTACATATTATAGGGTTGATACCAAAGAGGTACAAGTGAATACAAAAGAAAGTAGGAACATGCCTTCATGCTGCGGGTTTTTTTTTCTCATAAGCACACCAGCTAGCTTTCTTCAACCTTGCATTTATTTAAACAGTTAAGCAAAAGAGGTTTAATATAGAAAGCAGGATTATGGAGCTGGAAGGAGAAATAGCACATATCGGGATATGTGCTATTACTGTTTTTATACGTTGTACACCGCCGCGAGTCGCCCTAGGGCTGAGAGCGGCGGTCAATAAATGAAGCAAATAAAATAAAAAAAATAATAATAAAATATTTTATGGAGCTGGTTTTTTAAGCACTGAACTTTAAATTAGCCCGTTAGTTTCATAGTTTACGAAATGTAAGGCATAAATGAACAAAGAAATAACTGTGACCATAAGAATGTAAGCATCTCCAACTTATAAAATTCACCAAAAATATGAAAAGCCTTATTAAAAATAACCTTTGCAGTGATAAAGTAGAACTTCAAAATCAGTAAAGCATAACACAAAAATATGTTAGGTTGAATAAGTTATATTCTTTTTTCAATCTAACCAACAGAAGCTTCTATACTAAAACACTTTTTTTCTTACAGCATAATTGGCATCTGCAAACATGAAGCTGGCAGTATAAGTGTTATTCATCTTCTCAACAAACAATTTGGCCACAGTGAGTGACTAGTATTCTGAATCATCATGCCTGAGCCTATAGCTCATACAATGGCTGTTTTCACCTCCTTCCTAATCATAGACAGTACTGTACAAAGCCAGAAAAAAGTACTAAAATTCATGGAGTAGGTAGAATATATCTTGTGGATGAAAACAGCACATACACCAAAGATCACTACTGAAGGGCCCAAACATCATGCTGGTTTCCTACATATATATACACACTAGACAATTTTGAAGTTGTTGGTTAATGAGCTTGTAAAATTGGGAGTGGTTGTATTTTCACCTTTTGTGTGTAGGAAATCCAGGGCAGAGGCAATATCTCTCACCACCCTGCTGGCTTCTCTCTCATTAAAGTGCTTTTGCTCTTGTATGTGGGCCAGGATAGAACCTGTGAATAAAAAAGGGCAAGCAGGTGCTTTTGAGAGAGAGAGAGAGAGAGAGAAAACAAAGCTACTTGAAAGCAATCTGTTCTAGACAGAAACAGTAGTGGGAATGAATACTTTTGAATAAAATTGAATAGCATGGCTCTGAATTCAGCATAAATGGGGCAAAGGTAATTACTGTACAGAAAGTGATGTAATGGTTAACAATTTCACAACTCAATTATAGGTGCAGAAAATGCAGTCTGATTTATGTATGTTGATTTCAAGCAAGTCCCGAGGTGTCTGAATATTGTATGAGTCCTGAGTTAATTGGATATTGGGCATGCAACACAACTGTCTTAAGGTAAAAACTGAGAATCCCAAGAGATGGTTTCTTAATTAAAAGGGGAAAATGTTTTAAAGTAATGAAAGATTTTGTATGATATTTAATGGTAAAAAGAAAAACATATATCTGAGCTGAAAAACAAACAAGAGAAAATAAGATTTTTTTCATTGTAAGACTTCTTCTGTACAATAATTACCTTTGCCCTTGGTTTTCTATATTATGCATCTGAGTGTACTTTACTCAACATCTCACACCCAAACTTACATTTTTCAGCTGTCGTTTAGTTCTCCAGCCACTTATGACTAGTTGTTCCCATGTCAGTACAGTAATGAAACTGTTCTAGGATGTAGTCTGAACTTCAAAGTTTCTGAACCTATCAAGGATCGGTTCCAACACTTTTGATATCACCTTTAAAGTTTATAGTTTAAAATGAAGCAGATTCACTATCTCACTATTACAGATGCCACCATATTCTAATACTATTCTAAAATAGAGAAAAAAGATAAAGGTTTCCCCTGATATTAAGTCTAGTTGTGTCAGACTCGGGGGGGGGGGGGGGGGGTTGCCCATCTCCATTTCTAAGCCAAAGAGCCAGCATTGTCCGTAGACAACTCCAAGGTCATGTGGCCAGCATGACTGCATGGAGCACAGTTACCTTCTTGCCAAAGCAGTACTTATTGATCTACTCACATTTACATGTTTTTGAACTACTAGGTTGGCAGAAGCTGGGGCTAGCAACAGGAGCTCACCCCATCTCACAGATTTGAACCGCTGCCCTTCTGGTCAGCAAGTTCTGCAGCTTAGCGGGTTAACCTACTGCACCACTGTGGCTCCTTAAAACACGAGTGAGATACAGTTATTCTGGCAGACAAGGGAAATAATGTGTGACATGTTAGTAAGAGTTGTGGGTTATGGCCTATCTCTGATCCATCAAAAGATCTCTAATGAATCATGTAGATTCTGAACCTAGTTTTTAAGGCTTAGTCTATCAGGACTGGCAGAGAGGACTTTCTTATGAATGATGCATGGGACTAAGAATGAGCCAACGCAGAACAACAGGCATACACAATTTTGCTGATGAAAAGATGACATGGTTTCTTTTTCTAAAAGGTTTTTAATTTTTCCATGTCAGGAGCCACTTGAGAAACTGTAAGTTGCTTCTGGTGTGAGAGAACTTGCCGTCTGCAAGGATACTCAAACGTTTGATGTTTTACCATCCTTGTTGGAGGCTTCTCTCATGTCCCTGCATGGTGAGCTGGAGCTGACAGAGGGAGCTCAACCCACTCTCACTGGATTCAAACTGCTGACCTGTTGGTCAGAAGTCCTGCTGGCACTAGGGTTTAACCCATTACACCACCGGGTGCAATGGTGCAGGCAAAGGAATCTTGTCTAATACAATTTTTATTTTAGGCACAGACTGCTCAACACACAAGTAGAGGAAGGGAAATAGTCTTAGAAAAGACGATACTGGTTAAACATTATAAATCCAACCTAGATAAGCCATATTCATCACTTGTACATACTGTTTCATCTCCCTTTCAAGGAAAGTTTTGAATTAATGCATACAGAAAGATATGCTGCAGTTAATTCATTATGCCCTAGTAACAGCCAGGATAGATTGTTGAAATTGGTTATTTACATAACTATCTCAAACAAATATAATGGGTCATTCAGATCCATGGAGGGGTAAGGTTCTTGGATCACTCTTGGATACCCCCCCCCCCCCAAATAGATAATTGCATCCCAAAGTGCTCAGAGATGCTTCAGTGCATCTGCACTCACACTGCCAATATTTTATGTATAGGATGCATGAATATATCAGGGATCTAAAGCATGCATATCTCAAGGATCCACTGTATTTTTTTTACACAGCTCCCAGGCCTTTAACCAGTAGTGATCATCATGATGTCTAGAATATTAAAAGACTTCCACTGCTGCTTATTTCTTTTCAGACTGAAATCAAAGTGCTGGCTTTGATATTTAAAGGCCATAAAAACTTGCCCTGCCAAAGGCAATTCCCTTTTAACGTCCTTCAGCAAGTGACACCATCTTCAGAGTGATGAGTAGAAAGAGAGCTTCTTTATATAGAAGTGTCATATTCTGAAATTGTCTCATACAACACATTGAACCGGCACACTTCTATTTTAGACAGCATTCAAATTCTGACCTGTTTTTCTGAGTTATAATGACCCTTAAGATTCTTCTGTTTTTATCTCCTCCTGCAGTGTTTGATGAGTTTATTGATTTAGGTACATTTTATGGCATTTTATGTTAGTGGTCTTGAAAGCTTTTGATGTCAAAGCATGAATTTAAAAATGCTATTTAAAACAGAAAGCATACTATAGTCATGCAATATACCCTTCAAAGGAACAAGAGGGAGGAAAATAAAGAAACCACTGCAGAAAGCAGGGTGAGTCAAAACGCAAGCTCTGATACAAAATTGGAGGTTGAAAAAATTGAGGTGGAGGAGGGACATAACTTTGCTCTTTCTGTGGTGCAAACATAAGACCCTGTTCTTTGAAGTCAGACACAACTTCTTTGAATGGTCAAAAACTCATACACATGGGACATATCAGAAGAAATGAATCTGTGTGAATAGCGAGGCGAAATGTAGCAAAAGCAGTCAGGGGATATAATGCCAAGTTGACCAAATAATATGAAAAAGACTGCTGGGAAAACCTATCAATATAACTTAATCCATATTTATGCTCTGATTACAGAGACAAAAGAAGAAAAATTCAAAATGTTCTATGTAGGCATCCAAAGCTGACTGCTAGATTGGTGAGATTTTGCAAACACTATCCATTTGCAGAAGGAAGCTATGGCTATCGTTTACATCTATGTTTAATGGCCATTTGTAGTCATGTTCAACAATGGGATAAATCCAACTGGTAATCAGACTAGAACAGACCTAAGGAATCAGTGGAAATTTTGTGAATCAAGTACCAATGATTAAATGGGTCCAAGGAGGCATCTACAGATTAGAACTAATGGCACCACTTTAATTGCCACAGCACAATGCTATGGAATCATGAAAATTGTAGTTTTACAAGATCTTTAGTCTTCTCTTCCAAATAGTTCTAGTGCTCCACCAAACCAAAAACTCTCAGAAATCCACAACACGGAGCCAGGGTGGCTAAAATGGTGTCAAACTGATTTAATTCCAGTGCAGATGCACCCTAAATTGGCACTAACAGTTCAATACTGATTCAGTATTGGAGATGTATTGGATTGACCCTACAATTCAGAGCTACTAATGCTATTTGAGTTCTCAATCCTTCAAAACTGAAATGTCAGATTTGAAGCACTTTGGAAGAGACTGGGCAGTTTTCAAGGATCTCTAGTCGTCTGATGTCAGGAGAACAAGGGAAGCAAATAAAGCTAGTTTATGAACTAGGTTCTCATACCTCACAACCTCTGAGGATGCTTGCAACAGATGCAGGCTAAACGTCAGGAGAGAATGCTTTTAGAACATGACCATACAGCCCGAAAAACCTACAATAACCTAGGTTCTCATATTTTTCTTACATATTTGCTATTATTTTATCTAGAGATGTCCCTGGTGACTTGCAATTAAATGAGGAGGCAGTAAAGTTTTATTTTAAGAGCACTGCTTTCAATATGTGCTGAAATGCTTCTGTTAAAAAATATATAGTTTACACGTTCTTATGTGATCTCTAAAATGTAACAATGTATATTATCATGACAATTCTGGAGCCATTTGTAACTTTATCCCACTGTAAGTCTTATTTTTCAAGATGCAAATTATATTATAATTGCTGCAAAATGCTAATAAGTGTGTGCTCATTTCCCCTCTAGTTTTTGCTCTCAAAATTAGGTGCCACTAGTATATCACCTCAACAAGCCTAACATTTAGTGTGATGCTAATTACATTTTTTAAAATGTGCATATATACCTCCACGTAGTTTTTCAAAGACAAGGTAATACCTTGAATTATCTTCAAAAAATTCTATCAATTCCAAAATGTTCCTGGGGAGGAGGGAGAGAGAAAAGGGGGAAATTATACTTTTTCACAGAATACAACAAAAGAGTTACAGTATTACTAACAGGCAATACTACCGAACTCTCATAATCAGAGGTCTAATGGCCGAACTGCTGGTTTATCAGTGCAAAATCAGTATAATCATAGTGTGCCTATTACACATCTAGCGTTCACTAAGTGAATTCTACTATTTCAATTCCATAACAAAAAAAACATACCATCATTTACTAAGTCTGACTATAGCCCTTCCTAGAATTAAACTGGATGACCAGAAAACTTCTAAGTCTGTGATTAAAGTAAAAATACAATCTACTGCATTCTGATATGATTGAGAAAGAGCACTGGTTCTACTTTAAGTAGAGTACAAAGGCTATCTAATCTAACCCCTGCCATGCAAGAACATACCACAAAAGCACTCCTGAAAGATGTCCATCCAAGCTTTTTTTTCTTAGTCTGTCATTTCTCAATCTTCTTTTCTTTGAGCTAAACATACCGAGCTCCCTAAATCATTTCTAATAAGTCTTGGTTTCCAGATCTTTGATCATCTTGGCAACTCTCTTTTTAAACCATAGTACCCAAAATTGGAAGCAGGATTCCAGATGAGGTCTGACCAAAGGGGAGACTAATACTTCCCTCATAGAATCATAGAGGGCAGCAGACTGAACCCTGTGGCTGTTGAATGTAATTTGCCAAGTCACAATACTTTAGCTATGGCTTCTCCCACAAAAATAAGTGACCTAAGAATGTGTAGGTGGAAATACTCCACACTAACCATTTATAAACATATCATCAAACACAATAACACTTTCTTACTTGTTACCCTGACACTGATACAAAGTCTCCACCTCTCGGAAAACCCGACTCCGACTATGTCCTGCATGTTTTTCAATTATCTGTTACAAAAATGGAAAATAGGATTTAAAAGTAAACAACCTACTCCGGGGCATTATTTTTCAACTTCATTCAAGGTTTTAATAGAAGAATAAGAGGAACCAACATTTCAGGGATATGTCTTACAGTCTTACAGTTACGCATACCATCCGAATATTCTTCCTTCATTACAAAGCTCCTTCAAACAGATTAAGAAACTGGGATGAGTTCACACACTGTGAATTGATTTATCCCTTTTACTTTTATTTCTGTCAAACAGGATTTTGTGCTGGTTTTCTAAACAATGCAATCTGTTTGATCAGATAAGAATCTGGTGCATTAGAAATAATGGGTTCACAAGGGAAATGTTATCTGCCTGAAAATGCATTCATCTCTTTAAACTGGGATATTTTAACCAGTGTTACTCAAAATAATGGCCCTTGGACAAGCATCAATCCCTGAACCATTGCTGGATACTCCCTGGCATATTTCCAGGAAATAGAGAAAAACATTGTACTCAAAGGATGCATGTTGGAAAATAATAAATTCTGGTCTCACACATCAAACAGCCTGAGAAATAGTGGTTTAGACATCCCAAACCAGGGTTTGGAAAATTGGGAATGAGTACATTACATTTATCATTACGAACTTTCTGGCTGTGATCAAAGTGTGGGTCACCAATTCTGATGTTAAAATTAACTATGATTTGATGAAGTCATGACATTGCCCATCAAGTGAAGTGTGCACAACAGGGAAGGAAGAGGCACCGTGTGATATAAAGATGAGTAAGCAGAGACATGACAGAGATTAATAATGCTACGCAGGGTGTACAGAAAACAGGTAGGGAGAAGCCTTTCCCTTATATTTCTCAAACTTTGAGTCATCTACTGAAACTAAATTGTGAAAGATACACAAAGAAGGAAGCATTTCTTAATGTGGTTTATAGTTTAAACTGTGCAATTCGCTGTTACATGACTGCCAACTTCAACAATGAATTAGAAAAATTTGTGCAGGTTAAGAGGGAAGCAATGGCTACTAATCATGGTGGCAAGATACAATTACTATGAGAGTCAGTAAGGCTCTGCACATAAGTTGCTGCGAAGCAGGACTTGGGTAGAGCTTTTGCACTCACATCATACTGATAACCTCCCCATTTGCTTGGACACTGTGTGACTAATGGACTAGACAGGTATGTTTGTAGGCTACAGAATAACTGGCTTTTCCTTAATTCTCCATATCATAGTTAGAGGGACTGGGAATACTATTTGTTCATGCATTTAATTTATATTCTTTCTCCAAATTTGACACCCCAAACATCTTAAAGTACATGTTAAAACGAAATATCAGAACACATATGCAGTACTGGATAAAACAAAAAGATAGATAAAGCACTATATAATACAGGGGTTAAAAAACAATTAATCAAATTTAATTTAATTTAAACAGCTTAGAAAACTGGGTTGCTGTGAGTTTCCCGGGTTGTATGGCCATGTTCCAGAAGCATTCTCTCCTGACGTTTTACCCACATCTATGGCAGGCATCCTCAGAGGTTGAGGGGTCTGTTGGAAACAAATGAGGTTACACCTGTGAAATGTTCAGGGTCGGAGAAAGAACTCTTGTCTGTTTGAGGCAGGTGTGAATGTTGCAATTGGCCACCTTGATTAGCATTGAAATCTCACAGCAACCCAGTGATTCCGGCCATAAAAGCCTTTGACAACAGCTTAGAAAACATTTCTAGTGAGTTCTTGGTATCCGCCGGGGACACCAAAATCTGTGGATGCTCAAGTCCCATTATATATAATGTTGTAATAAAATGGTGCCCCTTATATATGGCAACAGAATCCATGTCTACAGAGGGCTGACAGTACATATAAAAGTACGGCGCACGCCCCATTGAAAGACTGCCCTGTTACAAACAATAAATAATAGAAACCGTGTCTTAAGCAAAAAGATGGAAAGAAGGCAGCCGGGGGGGGGGGGGGGGGGGAATTAACCTAGCCTTTCATGAAAGGAAATTCCATAGCTAGATGTTAACCATTAAGAAAGCCTTTTTTCCATGTCCTCATCAGCCATGTCTGTGAGACTGCCATAATCATATAGGCTGATAACGGCTGTTTTGCATAATCCAGACTCAAATTGTATAGCAATTAACTTTCGACTATACCTGGAAGCATACTAGTAGCCAAAGAATTCACATATTTACTATGGCCTACATTTGTTATCATCATGTACTTTCAGTACTGAAGCATCTATGAAGGGAGACTTTAAAAGAACCGTGGGGTACTTTTACTTACTTTGACTGCATATTCCTTCCCATTTTGCAAGCTGACTGCACCCTGTACCTTGGCATAAGATCCCTCACCCAGCAACTCCGCAGTGAGTTTGTACAAATCTGCCCCAAAAAAAGCCAGCACATAGAAATTGTTATTAAGGGAAACTACAGGTTTTTAAAATCACGTCAGAAGCTATTTGAGAAACTGCAAGTCACTTCTAGTGTGAGAGAATCAGCTGTCTGCAGAGACGTTTCCCGGAGATGCCCCTATGTGTTACCATCCTGTGGGAGGCTTCTCTCATATCCCCACATGGGAAGCTGAAGCAGACACAGAAAGGAGCTCACCCCATCTAATGGATTCAAACTGCCGACCTACAGGTCAGCAGTTCAGCCGGCAAAAGGGTTTAGCCTATTATGCCACCATGGCTCCTATAGGGAAGTTACAGTGACTTCTATGGACAAGCAACCAAGTTAATGAGTATTCCAACAGTAATATAAAAATAAATAAACCTCTCAGTTGTAAACAAAATTGAGACAGAAGCTTTAGTTTCATAATCAATCTGTTCTCATCAATAAGTCAAAATCAAGAGTGTGGCAGTAAAGTTTAAATCTTTGCCACATTAAAAAAAACACAAACTTCAAAAAGGCTGTGATACCAAACAAAAAGGCTGGTATAAATATTTCAAGCTCACTTGCAGCTTATTCTCCAGGGAGCATTTGAGACAGTGGTGCTGTTTCATGTTGACATCTTAAAATAGCTACAAAACTGTTTGTCCTAAGCAAAGAAAAAGATGAATTTATTTATTTGGGTTTACACATAAGACACAATCCAAAATGGATAACATTCTAATATGTCTCCCTGAATTCAGTGTATTCAGTGCAAAACAGTCTAAAGCACAAGAAATTAAACTGACTGTTCCAATTTAGATCCACAAAGGTTTGAAACCAGGGAAGCCCTCCTCTCGATCCCACCTCTCTCACAAGCTAGGTTGGTGGGGGTGAAGGAAAGGGCCTTCTCGGTAGTGCCCCCAACTCTGGCATGCCCTCTTCAAGGAAACCAGCAAGCACCCACTCTCTTAATCTTCAGGAAGAAATTAACACCTGGCTATTTAAGCAGCCATTTGACAATGGCTAAGAACATCAACCATCTTAGCAAGACTCTGAATGGCTGCTAGAACCATAGAAATTGGCTGGTTCAAATTGTGTTTATATTTTTACTGTGTTTAGAGGGCAAAATAGCTTTTAAATTCATTTTTATTAAATTTTATGCTATTGACTTATTTTATTAAGTGATATGTATTAAGTGATATGTGTTTACTGTCTGCATTATATTATTTACTGTATTTGTTTGTTTGTTGTAAGCCACCCAATGTCCCTTCGAGGAGAGGGGGCAGAATACAAATAAAGCTTTTTGTTGTTGTTGTTGTTGTTGTTTTGAAATAATAATAATAATCTGAAATAATGTATATACTGATAAGTTGACCTCGTGTGAAAATCAAGGGCAGGTTTTGGGAGCAAAATTATGGATTTAGTTTTGATATGACCCTTGGGTAAGTCTAAGGGATTTATCTTTCCATGGAGAGGGGAAAGCACCAATGCTGCCTCATGGATAGTTTTTCTAGCCATTTCTCCATCTAAGCACCCTGAAAAGCAAGAAGTAGCATCATGGCAGAGCATACCACCCCCCTTTTATGCCAGCTCCACTGGCTGCCGGTCCATCTCCAAGCCCAATTCAAAGTGCTGGTTTTGATCTATAAAGCTCTATATGGTTCGGGCCCAGCTTACTTGTCCGAACGCATCTGCCCCTATGCCCCACCTTGCAATTTAAGATCATCCGGGGAGGCTCTGCTCTTGCTCCCATCAACAGTGCAAATGCAGCTGGTGGGGATGACGAACAGGGCCTTCTCGGTTGTGGCCCCCTGCCTATGGAACACACTCCCAAAGGAGGTAAGATCTCCCTTGCTCCAGACCTTTAGAAAAAAAATTAAAATCATTTTTTTGGGACCAGGCCTTCAGACAATAGATGTATGTAGCTTTTAGTGGGATAAGGACTGAAACGGCGACTCGACTGATGAGATTGTTTTATGGTTTTAATAACTGTTTTTTTTATATTTGGGGATGTACTGTTTTTAATATGATTTATGTTTAAAATGTGGTTTTACTATTGTAGTTGTAAGGCATTGAATTTTTGCCATTATCTATGTGTAAACTGCTTTGAGTCCCCTAGGGGTGAGAAAAGCGTACATAAATACTGTAAATAAATAATAAATAACAGAGGGATATCAGAGGGAGTTAATAATCTAGAATGCACTAAGCTGTTGCCTTTCGCCACTCTATTCAGAGAAGAAAATGGTTTCTCTTTGGTAAGACTTAAGGTACAGTACTTATACTGACCCATGGGTAAGTTTACCCAGTTTGGAGAGGTTAATGTTTTAACTAGTTTCTAGACTTATTTATCAGAATTTAGGGTAATCTCAATGAAACAAAAGGAAGGATTTGTCATGAAAAGTTATTCTGTGACAAATGGTTTTCTACTGCTTTTCTGCCCATGAGGGTCCCCTTATAAATATTACCAGTTGTATTATTTAAGTTGTGTTGAGATTCTATCTTATCTCATGTAATCTTGGAGCGATGTTGCATAAAACAAGGCATCCAATGAAAACTTCAAAGTCTGGGCAGGCTCTTGGACTAGGATGCAGCCTTCCAAATATCTTTGCTCTAGCCATTTGGGGCTTCAAAACCAACACTGTGAACTGAGCTCAAAAACAAGACAGATGTCAAAGCAGTTGTGTGCCACAGCCACACTGTGCCAAAGGTAGCCCCACATAGAGCATATTTCAGTCGTTTAATAGGTAAACAATTGATAAGACGTGGTATGAACTTCACAATTTGAATATTTTGCTGCCTTTGAACCCCCAATCATAATGGTGGAACTAACAAATAGTGGGCATAAAATAGGCTGCTTAAAAGTTTTTCAACATAAACAGGGGTGCAAACTGAGCTCACTGCACAGAATAAAAAGGTACCAAAAATAATAAAGCAAAACAGAAAGCCTACCTTCAAACCTTCCAGGAAAATGATCTGTAGCTCTGGTCCTTTTTTTCTTTTTCCTTTTGGCATTATCTGCTATGGGAAGGGGCTCACTGATGGCCATTTCTACAAAGCAGAAAGGGTAGAAAGGGTAAGCCATTATTATGTTTATGTCATGTAATGCTGAGAAATAATACGCGTTCAATGTTTTCTTTATGGTTGTAGCATTTAACATTTGTGAGAATTAATAAGTAACAAGAAACTGTGTGTTTTTATGCCAAGCTCTTCCTTTTTAAACTATTTTAAAGTCATAAATTATTCAAGACAATATGAAGAGCAAGCATTTATAATAAATTTACTGAGAAAACTATCTCTGTCTCTCGGTACTATGGCAACAGCATACCAAACTGGCCCAACAGAAATATCTATACTCTTTCAAAAGCCTCCAGTGTGCCTCCATTGCCAAAAGACAACATTTCCGCATAGCAACTTGCTCGTCTGTTTCACACAGGAGTTTAATTAATTGGCCTCCATTTCAATTGCCTTAAAACAGGTTTCACTTTTCAAATATAGATGGAAGAATGAACTATAGCTGGAAGAATAAGAGAATAATGCCATATCAGGGCAGCAAGGGCTACAGATTGCAGTCATATCTAGTAACAAAATGATAGCTCATTTCACTTATTTCCATATTCTTCTAACCTCTGTAATTATTTCTTCAATATACTATGGAAAATATGGTTCTTTCGTCTACAAATAAATGGTGTAAAACATTGGTCCCACAAGGAAATAGCTCAGCCTTCAAACTTTGAGTCATTTCTAGGTGCTTCCAGATTGTACCCTTCCTGTGTGACTAATCAGTTGTTGCTGTTATTGTTTTTAACTGACAGTGATCTAGACTGTAAAATTAATTTGGTTTGATACCACTTTCACTATCATGGCTCAATGCTATGGAGTCCTGGGAATTGCAGTTTGGTGGGCACCAGGGCTCTTTGGCAGACTTTGCAAAACTACAGCTCTCATGATTTCATAGAATTAAGCCATGGCAATTAAAGTTGCATGAAACTGTAATAATGTAGCCCGAAATAGCAACCCTAGAGGGAAGACACCCAACCCTAGAAGGAAGAGCAGACATAATGAATGTGGCATTATTTTCCTTCCAAACCAGTCAAGAAGTAAAATGCATGAGGGAGCGTGTTTTGGAGCAATTGCTTTCTCCAGATTGTATGACCATGTTCCAGAAGCATTATCTCCTGATGATGCACAGACCTAATCATTATCATCCACCATAATTGCAAACATGGAAAGACTAATTTTCATGTCCCATGCCTTTTGTAGAAGAATAAAAACATGAAACATTGTTCAAGATCATTCCACAAATGCTGAAGAAATCCCACACGTAGATTAACATAATTTTGTTAGAAACTAGAAAAAAAATTACGTGTGGAAACACTTATTTGCCCGATACTCTCTCTACTGTTTTTATTTAGATTGCTGAATAAATCCAAACTGAAAAATATATATCTCATTAACCTTGATCACTTTCTGATCCTTATATCAATAGTGACAAGTGATGTCTTTCATGAATTCATCCCCAAAACGTATTTGTTCTGTATACTTGAACTGGGCCAAGATACAGAATCTATTGCCTGGAGAATTGTTCAGACCAGACTTCTACTAGTTTCTTCCATGTCTGACACTCCTAAGGTCAAAGAGTTTTCTTTCACACCAGAAAATAACTTCACTCATTGACATCTCCAACTTGTGCTATGGCAGACATACAAGAGGTGTTATTTTATCTGTTTATTTGGCCTATGGCCTGTAATCTGAAATGCATGACATATCCTTGCATGACCTCTAGTGATCTAAAGATACTTTCCCAGCCAGAATCAACCAGACACATTTTTACTTGCTGTGCAGCAATCAAATGCTGCACAACAAGGCAATGGCTCTAACGTTAACCTCCATCATCCTACAAAATATATTCAACAAATGACATAAGATGGCATTAAAGAGATGTGGGTCAGCTCTGTGTTAGATCATTTCAATGTACCTATATTATAAAAATATCATCAATGTTTCTGGGGGAAAATTTAAGTCAATTCACAGTAAACTATTTCTAAAATCACAGATATATTAATTGACTGCAGCAAAAACAAGAAGTCTCTTGGAACCTTGCAAAAACTAAGCACTGCCATCGCTCCCCTTCTAAGAAGCAGCAAAAGAGAACAGTGTGAACAGTAAAATCAGGGGAAGCAGGGCTTTTAAATGTGATCTTTCCTCAACACGATGGCCTCAGCATTTGCTCACTGAAGCCACTTTCGCTCCGGTGTGTTGCAATTTAATTAGAAAAGACCTATTTGAGATGACCTTTCACTGTCATGAAAGGTAGATCTTTCATGTGTTAAAGTGATTTATGCTGGTGAGAAGCTGTTCTCATTTAGAAATGTCAAAAACATGCTTTTAGAGTTGAGTAATATTTACATTTAATTAACTGCTTAGAATAAACAATGTGGAATTAAGAGTGCTGATGTCCAGAGAAACAGTTCCTAGCTGAGGAGGGAAACAGTTGGGAAAAGGCATTATGATGCTGAAAATCCAATGATGAGGAATTGCTTAACTGCTAATGCTAAGACAAACAAACTAGCACAATAAACTGAGTCCATAACCTTCTCCACAGGGATGGGCACTCTATCATAATCACACCAAATACTGCAGTGCTCCCTCAACCTCCCTGAACATCCCCATAAGAAGGAAACTAGGAATAACCTTGTTCCTTCAAATGTTTTGCAGATAAATGCACCACAGGGATAGATGCAAACATAACAATCCAGACCTCAAAGCAGATACCTGATTTATGCTGGCTTGACTTCACTGAAAAGAGTGCTGATGTATCCTGGCAACACATTTCACTCACAAATGGGCTCGATGAGGGATTATTTTGTGACTGAAATTTTAAAAAAATCTTAATTAGTTTCGTAAGCTATCACCTAGAGAAAACACACTGTGCCCGATTTAGGGAAATGTAGTAAAAAAGCAAAACCTGTGATAATGGACTCATTAACATACACATATATTTGCTGCTATAGCTACACATTGTCCATACACATACATATATTAGATAGGCTCTTGGTGCATTCCCATTCATTTTCCATCTATTCTATTCCCAAACATTGTTTCTATGAGGCAATACATTCCTTCGGAGCACATAGGTACTTGCCTGCTTTGGTTGTGAAACTCTATATACATCACCATATACAACAATGGTGCTGTTAGTATATGCATTCAACCAGCCTTATGGATTTCACAGGATTTTCCTAGACAATGAATACTCGGAGATGGGTTTCCCAGTCCTTTCCATTGAACTATAGCCTATAGTATTCATTGGTATTCATTGGCAGCCTCCCATCCAAGTACTAACCAGGGCTGTTCGTGCTTACTCCCAAGATAAGAGGATCTGGTGCCTTTAGGGTATTTAGGCCCTCAATGTGCACAACTATGAAATAAATTAATAGGGCAAGAGGACATGTGAAGAGGGTGCATTCTTTTGGAACTTCCTAGTTCAAGTTTTCTCAATAAGCTAAATTGGGCCTCATTCTCCAGTGCAACTTCCTTTTAGAGGAAATGGCAGGATAAACTGAGGAAATGTTAACCATCTGGGAAGACAAAATCCTAACAGGCAAGCAAAAAAGAAAAGAAAAGAAAAAATATTTTTTTCACCAAGACTATAGATAATGTTTGCACTCTATTGGCAGGGTGGCACTCACAGTATGCCAGGCTCATTTTGGCCATGAAAGTACAATATTCAAAAATAAATATCTTAATTCTCTTTCCTTCTTTTAACTGTTGACAGTCTTGGATTCCAACTGCTTCTGATCTGTTCTACAAATTCAGCTTCAATAAAAGGTGCAAATCTTTTTTTTTTTACAGAAACAAATCTCAATCATACTTTGCATATATGCCAATGTGGCTCACAAGACACCCCTGAGAGTATGCACACATCGATTCCATGACAGCTGAAACATGTGTCATAATATATACAGTTGTCCTGAAAATTTAGATCCCACTGAAGCAGCAATTTATTTTGCTTCAAATATATGCTTGAATTGCTATGGCAAAGGTCTATTTAAATCTGATAAGCTGTCCAATGTATTTCCCACTAGTCAGAGAAAAGGACTTTAATGCCCTGCACTGAGATGGAATTTTTCCTCTCCCCAAAATGAGCTGTGGCACATTAAGAAAAACAGTAAAAAGTAGAACTGGCCCTGGAATATGACATGGATTATGTAATTTTAATTGTTGTTTGAACGTTATGTTTTAATTGGTTTGTTTTTAATTTTTTTGTTTATTCACCAATGTGTGTGTGCGTGTGTGGCATCAAATTGTTGCCTTTGTAAGGCTGCCCTGAGTCCCCTTTGGGGTTGAGAAAGGCAATATACAAGTATGGTAAATAAATAAATAAACAGAAGAATAATTTAATAACATGTATTTGATCTAATTGATTTACGCAGCTTACAAAAACAAGCTTTTTATTTTGGAAAATTCTGAGCTACCTTGGTGCAGAAGATGCTGTTAAATATAAAAAGTAAAGCATACACTTGGCAAACATCACCTAAGTATCTAAACTGATATAGCCATAGGTTGTGCAGAACTCAGTATAGGAAGACAGGACAGACATACCAAACATATGCTATGCAGACATTCAACTAGAACTAAGAGTTTGCTTAACCCAAAACACTCTTTCTCAATGCCTCATATACAATGTTGTCAGGATAGTTGTAGTTATTTCACAAATATGTTTTTCAATGTGTTAGTATTGTATTTCAAAGATGGATTCAGTTATGTTCAGCTGTGTGCTAGAATTATAGTCACCAGAGGAAGTGAGAGTAAAATCCTTGAGACTGAGATAACAGAAATTCTTTTGCCCAGAGAACAAAAAGGGAGTTAACCAGCCGGAAGGGCAGGATGTTTTGTCTGTGTATTTAGTCCTGTACTTTGTAGTCGCCATCTTTCATTCTCTAAATGTAGTCGCTTGTGAATAGATGCTTCTAGTAAAGCTATTCTGGAACCGAAGAAGAATGCTGTGTGATAATTGAGTCTGTGTGTTTTGGAAACCTCACGTCCGCTGTGCCAGACCGGAGGGTCTCACTCTGACAAAAGGTTATGGGCCCAGAACTATCAAATGTGTGGATTTATAGATTTATGGACATGTTGCTGGAGGTTTACCAAGAAACAGACCTGTAAGCTTGCTGCCGGAGCCGTGAAGTTCAACCCAGTTGACTTGAGAGGCTGCCGTCGCATGGAAACTGGAACAGCCTGATCGGAAGCAAAGGAAGAGGTTTGCTATGGCTATCCAGTGTGGATTGACGGAGAAACTGCAGCTTGCGGTGAGTGAAGTAACGTGGCTGGAAGTTGGAGATATAAATCAGCGGAAGCGCGCTGGACCCATTAAGAAGTCGTAAAGTGGGTGATTGATGTTGGAACGTGTCAAGCCATTAAACCGCCAGAAGCTGTTTTTGTTTCAGCTGGGCTTAAACTCGGTGTCCGAGGGTTGTTATGGCTGCTTCAAAGTTCCAACCAGCTTTTGAGGATGACAGATGGAATGATGGATACAATGAATCGCCTGTGAGGTATGCAGATTGTCGTCGGTGTTATTTCTGCAACAGACGGGGACATTTTAAAAGAGATTGTGAAGAGAGAAAGTTTCAACTCAGAGGAATGGCCCATGGGAGATATGGAGCCGAGAAAAGTTATTGTGAAGATGAGCAGAGAAGCAGCAGCAGAAAGATAAATTCTTGTGTGGAGGCATTGACAGCTGCAGCCAAAGGAGCGGAACCTTTTAAAAGATCTGCTGGGGCTGATCGGAGGTGTTACAGATGTAATAAAATTGGATGTTTCGCCCGTAATTGTGTTGAAAGAAGACATCAGTCAAGAGGGGGCCGTGTCTGTGGAGCCGGAGTCAGAAGACGCTACATAAACAGAGGGGGCTACTATGGAAGTCATGCGGAGGAAGCAAGAATAATGGTTGCGGCTGCAGGAGAGCTGGAGAACATCAAAAGAGACAGATGGATTTTGGACTCGAGAGCTACGCATCACATAACAAATAGTTTGAACCACATGACCAACGTTCAATACACCCAGGGGAGCATGGTGACTATGGCGGATGGCTCTTATCAAATGTTTGATAAATTTGGAACATGCTATATTCCCTGTATTAATGTCTGTTGGGAGAAAATTTTGTATGTACCAGAAATGAAAACTAACCTGTTGAGTGTAGCAACTTTGACTGATCATAATTACCATGGAAAGTTCAAGGGAATTTACTGTTATGTTTTTGACAAGCAAGGTGTTTTGATTGGAAAAGGAGTAAAGAAAGATAAAATGTACTTAACGTTTGAAAGATTGAACCAGACAGAGAGCAATGAGAATGTGCAAATACTATGTGTTAAGAATCAAATTCAGCATGATAGATGCATACATTTACTTCATAGGATAATGGGACATGCTGACATGGAAGTCTTAAAGAAAACTTTGAATCTGTGCCCAGAACATGAGGCTGAAAAATGTTATTTTGATTTAAGTTGTGCGATCTGTGATCAGGTAAAATGTGAACCGATTAAGTTTTATAAGAAATCCAAAATTAGAGCTGAGAGACTTTTTCAAATAGGGCATATTAGTGTTGCAGGACCTTACCAACAAAGTGGTGGGAAATCGAGATTTACCATGTTAATAGTTGAAAGATTAAGTAAATTTGCATTTATTTATTTCTTGAAAGATTTGTCTGAGGCAACTGAGAAGCTCAAAAGTTGGTTAAAAATGGTTGAAAATGTCTTTGATGCACAACTGGAAACTCTGTAAATTGATGAGGGAGCTGAAGTGTGTAAAGATGAGATAAAGCAATTTGTGCAGTCAGAAGGGATTGAAGTTATTGAAATGAGTCAGCTCAAGAATGAGGAAGGAATTGCAGATAAAAGAATGGAGTATATAAATGAAATGAAAGAATGTTTATTCAAAGATGGGAAAATTTCAAAAAATTACTGGCCTGAAGGGGTCCATACAGCTAATTATATAATGAATCGTTTGTGGGATCAGGTGTTGGATTATATTCCTTTTCATAAACTGTATGGCTATGCACCAAGTTTCAAACACATGAGGATTTTTGGACACTTTGCAAATGTATTATTGTCTGTACATGAGAGGAACAAAAACAATCATTTCCGTGAGATGCATTTTCTTGGTTATCATAAAAATTGTCTAAAATTTTTAAGTTCACCACAAACAGTTAGATTAGCGAGAGTGGCATATTTTCCAAGATTGAGAGACTGGAAAGACATACATACTAACACAGAGAATTTACATGGTTTGCCCATGAAGAGAGACGAGAGAACAGTTGCACCAGGTGCAGAGATTGAGCAGAAGCAGAGACAAGAGGTAAAGATTAAGCCAGACACACGTAGAAAGGAAAAGTGTTGCCACAGGCACAGAAGTGAAGAGGAAACATGAGTCAGGAACACATACACAGAGAAAGGATGAGATAACAGTTAAGCCATGTGCAGAAGTGAAGCAGAAACTGCAAGAGAAGGTAGAACAAGGTGCACATTCCAAGGAAAGAGAAGTCACACACAAGTCAGAAGCAGAATCACCAAAGAGTAGAGGGAAAATGACAAAAACACCTGAGAGAAAGAGTGTGCAAGTTAAACAGGAACCTGAAGAGTTAATAGTTGCAAAGCAAGTCAGTGCTATGAGTGGAAGAGATGCAGTGAAATACATGCAGTTCCATAATTCGGCCACCGGGGGCGTAGACACAGTTGCAGTAGGGAAAGACTATATGATGTGGGACGACAGTGATTTCTAGTATCAGCAAGGGTCAAGAGTGTTCTGAAGTGAAATGAGTTTGTTTTGATTTGGTTTAGAGAATCAAAAATGTAGTAATGCAAGGTATTTGAA